GCCGAAGGGATTGCCTTGGAGATAAGGAAAAACTGAGTATAAACAGCCAAAGCATTTCTCTAGGTGGCAGCCTCCTAAAGGTGCCCTGCTAGATTTTGGCAGCCAGCTATTTTGCATGGAAGTATGGAAAAATCTTTTGTGAGGATTGTTCTTTACTTGCAATGCAATTAAAGTGGGTCTTGGTGTAGTGGCGGCTTGCCAAGGGAGAAACTGTTTGAAAGTGTTTCCAAATGCAAGTTGCTACTTAGACTGAAGTCTCTGCATGTTCTTGTTTCTCTCCCACTTTTTAAAAACCGTTGTTACTATCTCTGTCACAGAAAACGTGCCCAAGGGCAGGGTTACAAAATGGCAATGTTCGTTTGTTCTAAAGGCAGGAGGCCCTCCACATTTCGAGGCACTCTCTCTGGAGAAGGGCAAAATCTGAGCATTCTCCTGCTGCTGTTTCATTCCCCTTGCCACGGTAACCTGTGGCTTCCCACTCGGCTCTGAAAACGGACCGCAGCCTGGCCAGGTCCTGGGACAGGAGGCACATCCAGGTCCTGCAGCATGTAGTGAGGATCCTGATAAAAGCCTGCCTGATAACATAGGGTTCAGGGAGCTGCAGGGGTTTGGGTTTTTTTGTTGTTGTTTTTTGTTGGTTTTGTTTGTTTGGTTTTTTTTTTGTGGCTTTTCTTGGGGCTGACAATACATGTGTAGTGCAGCGGTTCAGGAGCAAAATTAAGTGTTCAAGTAATATGCATAGTTATGCAGTTTTTAGTAATGCTGGCTCAGCACACCGTGAGTTAAGTGAAAATTATACTTAACCTTTTATTTGCTCTTTTTTTGTGTGTTTCTATAAACTTAGACTGTTCTGTTACAGTTTCCTGAGCATTGCCACACACTAAGCTTGGAAAATGAGGTGCATTTAGCCAATTTATGGCCTGACATATGTTAATTAACATTAATTACCTGCTTGAATAGTCCATTTAACACTTATTATTAAAAAGTGGCTTGTCTACAGAAGGGGATTTTCCTTTAGAGTGAGATGTTTTGTTCTAACTTGCTTCAGATGAAGTCAGGATGGGGTATCCTGTGCTTCTGCATGGCTGTACCAGTTTCCTGATGTTCCAGTTGTGCTTGTGGGATATGCTTGCACCATTGACAGGCACCAACTCCTTCCCCATGTGTATTTGACATTTATTTGACAACAGCTTAGCTTCCCAAGCAAACCATCATGTTTCTAAGCATTTTTTGCTGGTGGTGGGTACAGCTCTTGCTTGTCCATTTGAGGCAGCAGAGAAAGAGCCATGCTTCTCAGCTTGCAAGAAACTGCAGGGACATCTGGAGCCCTGTGGTGATGTGACCCCAGCCCCTCTTTGGGGTGGAGGAGTGGGAAAAGCTCAGGTGTGCAAGGCTGGAGGGGGTTTTTAGGAGTTGCTGGAGCACACTGTGGTGTGCTGTAGGGAGGGTGTCTTCAGCTCTATGTGGTCGAGGATGATGGACCTTGAGGCTCTCAGAGCCTTTGAGAGGAGGCCGCTGCTGAAGTGGAGCGTGGTCTGCAGCCATAGCAGGTTGTGTCTTGCTGTATTCATCAGTTACGTTACCTGGGTTATCTCCTGGGCAATGTGTTGGGCAAGGGCTGTCACAGATGATTGGTCTAAAACCTGTGAGATGAGAGGATTAAAAAGCAGAGAGTACTTGTTCAGTTTCCAAATACCAATATTAAAAAAATAAAAAAGAAAAAAAATCCATTCCTCAATTTCCCATCCTCCAATTTCTCATTCCTGTCTTGGAAGACTCCCGGGATGTCAGGTCCTACTTCACCTTTGCCATCCTTCCGTTTGTTACACCAGTGGGAGGGCTTGCATGGTGCATGGGGTGCCTCTCTGGGAGATGGAGGGCTGGCTGGTGGCTGTGCAGGACATTAGGCACAGAATAGCTGCATTTCAGCTGGGGATACAGCATGGAGACAATTAGGCTACAGGACTGATGAAAAGCAATTTCAGGGCGATTGTTCCCAAGGAGTTGGGAACAAGTGAGTGATTGCATTAGTGCTCTGCCTCATCCCTGTTGTGAAACAGCAAGGGAGCTGCCTTCCAGTGGGGCTGAGGAGCATTGCAGTGTCGCCATTGCTTTTTACCAGAGTGGTTCCTCCTGATGCTGTGTGTGGCTGTGAGGTCCAGGAGGAGCCCCTCTTACTCTGCAAAGCCAGAGTCCTTTCTCTGAGCCCCATCCCCCTTGCACATTTGTTCAAGAGCTGATATGCTCATAATGCTGCTATTTATTTGAGGTAATGTAAGGGAGGTCAGGAGTTAACAACATTGATGTCTTGTCAATAACTCTGTGTGTGTGTGTCCTACCTGAACTTTACTTACTGGGGCCATTTTCTTTATCTCTATGCTGGTACCTATTAAAAATAAAGGCTATTTAAATACTTTTACTGGTCTCAAACACCTTTGTAAGATTTCACTGACAGAGAAATGCCTTTCTGGGGATTTGTGTGGGTAAAGAAATGCCTTGTGAAAATTAGCTCCTTTAAAAGACTTGTGCTAACAAATTGAATGGATTGCAATGTGCTGCGTACTTTAGAGTTGAATTATGGAATGGTGGGTTCTCACTTGAATGTGTTCATTTGGCAAGGTATTATTTTGCTTTTCTTAATTATTTTTTCCCTGATGGTGAAATTGCCACTCGCTACATGTAAGGGGTGTGGAAGGGCTGTGCATGCTGGGACAGAAGGGGAGAGGCAGCCTCGAGGAACAGATGGAGTAAGGTCCACTTGAAGCAAGGAAGATGATATGCAGCACTGACAGTGTGTTGTCAGGACCTTCGCAGTGTGTGTCTCCAGTTTTGGGGGACAGGAGGCTGCCAGCAGTGGGTGTGGGGCTCTACCTGTGCAACCCAGGGCTGCTGCACCTGAGTGCTGCCGACGGACAGGTGCATTTCCAGGGAGTGAGTCACTGGATCACGCCACTTCTGCATCCCTTCACCCACTGCCTGTGCTGAGGTGAAGGGTGGGTCTCTGCTGATGTTGACACCAAAATGCAGTTGAGAGCTTCAGAATGAGGGCAGGAGGCAGGAGTGCTGTCAAAGGACACATTTTTCTCCTTTGACGCCTACCTCTCAGGCTGCCTTCACACTCTATTGTGCTGTGGGTCTGCCTGGGGGCTGCTCATAACCCAGCCCTCAGCCTTGCAGTGTCTGCAGGCCAGCCTGCCTCCCCATCCCTGGTTTTCCAAGATATTCATCTCTCTCTAGGGAGCAGTGGAGGCCATGGCAATCCCGGGACTCAGTCTTAGGAAAAAGTTTTCAGTAGGTTTGCTGGCTCCTGAGACACGTGAGCAGAAAAGGGCAAGTCCGGGCTGCTTGCCAGCACTTGAACATGGAAGTAACATCTGCTTATCCCAACCCCAGAGGAGTGGGAGACAGCAGATAAGTCGGAAGACTGATGAGGACAGATGACGGTCTGCTGTGGGAGGACAGATAGAGGAGCACCCAAAAACATCGACATGTGTCTGCTTGGGCTTCACTCTGCCTCCTGGCTGCTGTGACTGCTCACTTCGGAGTGGGAATGAAAACTGGTTTGCATGGATGCAGCCCAGTTTATGACAGTGCAACTTTCATGTGTAGCTGAACTAAAGAGGGCAGGGACTGAATCTCGTCCCTGCTAAAGGCCACATTAAAGCAGCATCGAGGCTCTCCTATGATGCTGCAGCATCACGCATTTGCATTAGTGCAAGACAGACTCAAACCAGCAGCGCTTAAAATCCCAATTGCAGCTGAGCCTGGGTTCCCTGTGAGGACTGAGCATGACCAGGGAATGTTAGTAATACTGTTACACTGGAGTAAACAAAGCTTTGTTTAAAAATGTATTAATTACCTAATAATACTCTAATACAAGCTACTCTCCTAGTCTGGACAGCCAGTACCTCTGAATTTGTAGACAATTTGCCCTTATAACTTAGTTTTTTCTCACATTGTACCACGTTGGTTTCTACACTTTTTCCAAAACAGGATACGTAAGAATAAATGTATTATTTCAAAGAAATAATTTTAGGACATGGGCTGAATTCCAGGGCCATATTTGTTTTAACTAGAATGTGGACTGAATTATCTTGATATATACTCAGGTGTCAGTCCTCTTAAATCCTGCTGTATTTGGGATTTTTTCTCTCCATTCTATCTCCTGAAATACCTATTTCAGCTCTCCAAAGACAGATTGTGACCAAAGTTAACCCCATTTGCTCACATGAAATTTGCAGTGTACATTTAAATGCGAGACTTAATCCAAATCAAAAGTTTCTAACTTTGTGTGAACCTCAATCTTGTATAAATATATTTGCTAGTACTTCATGGAGGATTTATCAGTTTCATATATTAAGTTCTAGATATGCTTAGTACATAAAATTTGGTATCTGATAAGTGAGAACAGTGCTCAAGAAAGAATGTCTTTTTGTGAGACTCTCACAGGCTCCCACATTAGCACCTTTTTTGCTGATTGATTTTGTGCTGAGAGCAGTGGTGTTGTTTCCTGAAAGCCTATAACCTACTGTTTGTTTTGAAAACTGCTGTGGACCTTGACTAATTTTCAGAGAATGGGTTTTTTTCCAAGAATTCGTAGGAGAAGGTGACACCAGTTCAAGTCATGTCGTGAGATGCTTGTAAGCTGAGACATGTAGAGCTGCTGTCCCTGTTTTCGTGCAACACAACCTATTGTGCTTAACAGTTTCACTGTGTGTGGGAGCCCAAAACCATTTGTTTGAGATGTCAGGTTTCAGAGTGAATTGTGCTTCTTTAAGTATTCATCAAGACCTACAATGGGAGGCTGCTGATCTACAATGCCTTTGTAGAAGAACAACATTGGCACCGATAATGATGATGCCACTGAGGAGCTGTGAAAACTCTGACGCATTTTGTGAATTTTGTTCAAGCAGCTTCTGCTTTTGCTTAGCCTCAGCCATATATCTGTCCCAGGTAAGTGGGCCACGTCTAAAACCTTTGATGTACAAATAGAAGCCATGTCAGAGTTCTGCGTGAATTCGGCCAGAGGTTTCCCATCTAGTTTGTGCAGCAGCCAAAAGCTCTGAACCTAATACTGTGTTCATCATGATGTTGACAGTGTGATTTTCTCTTCTCATAGCATGTTGAGACTTATTTCTTGCCCCATTGCTCTTACGTCCTGATTCATGCACAGCAAGAATACTTCTGATTAAAATTTACTGGAAGGTTTGCGTGCTTTGGGTAGGAGAGAAATCTTTTATGAGGAACTGTTCTTTGTAAAGCCATGGGCAAGGGAGCTGTGTGCTTAAGGTATTTGAAAATCAATAGTGAGGCCATTTTCCATACAAAAAGGAGGGGAAGTGTATAGGACATAAGGTAGTGGCATACGGGGCTGGGAGGAGGAAGGATTCTATGAGCTAGCAGCGGGGAGTAAATCAACCTGATGTATGTTCATAGACATCTGATGTCTACTGGGCCTAGTGGGGTAGCTCAAAGCAGGTGGAAGAAACATACTGTTTACCTAATTAGAAACATAAATAAAATCTTTCCAACATTTCTCTAAACTAAAATGCATTTGAAGCATATGTCAGACTTCTCACATCCAGGAAAGGTCTCTTAAAACCCTGCCGTTTCTCAGGGAGGCTGTTTCTAGCCCACCTTCTTCAGGGCTCTGCCAGGTAATAAGTCTTCCTGTTTAAAAGATGGAGTGGGATGTGCCTTAGCAGCTGGAAATGTTAGGGTTCTCTCTGAGCACAGCTGTACTCCTTTTTAATCAGTGGGAAAAGGCTCTATTGTTTGAGACTACAGACCAGGGAATTGGAACAACCAAAGAAAATTATCATGGCTGAAATCATTGAAGATAGGATTTCACACGTGTATTTATTGAGGAGTCGGTGATGATGGGAAGCAGGGCCTGGGACACAGTTACAGTCAGAGCACTTCCATATCTCCAGTGTATTTTAAGAAACCGAGGAGACAAAGATGATGCTAATTGCAAGAGAAACTACTTAACCACTTTGTATTATGTGTGAAATGAATGGGGAATAAAGCTGATTGAATGACCTATTTTGACTTTCTCAGTATAATATGTTTAATGTTTTAGTCGTTTTCTGGACAGTGAATTATAATTTTATCAAATCCTACTGGAAATGAATGTTGCTGGGCAGAGTATTTTATCCTCACAGTTTTAACCACAAAGTTACATCTTGCTTCTTGACTTGGTGGATAGAGTTTTCTCTTTTAGCTGGAAAGGGCTTTTGCCATGCAACACAGTGACAGTAGTCCTTTTTGCTTTATACAAAATAGGGTCCTGTCAGGAAGAATATAAAATAGGGCACTGAAGGAGTCTAATTTAGAAGGAGAAAGGGCATAAATCTCCACCTCTCTCTAATGACAGAAGGCCAAAGTACAGCAAAAGCATTTCCCTGCTTGTAAAATGCCAGATGCCAAATGTAAAATACCAGAGAAGTTGTTCTGTTAAAGGCACAGCTATATCTAACCTCCTTAGAAGCTTTTCAACTTTGTTTTTAGTACATAGAGGGATTCTTAAACGACGAAGCAGCTCTGTTAGGGTCTTCTCTGCTTATTGTACTGTTACAGAAATGGTTTGCTGTTTTGGACCAGTGTCAGGCAGAATAATACTGAATAAGTCCCAGATGATTGTGGGTGGTGAAAAGAGAAAAATAATTTCAAATAAAGAAGGGTATTATCAACTGAACAGCCAGTGTTGATCCTATGGTGCTGAAAAATGAAAGCACGAAAGTCTTTTTTTTTTTTTTTTAAGATGGGAAATCTTAGCTGAAAAATCTGTTCTGACCAGAGTTTGATACCTTACTTCAACTTGGCTAATTGGCATTGGTGCAACAGCGCTGTGAAGCGTTGGAGGGAGAGCAGAAGTAGAAACAAGCCTCCAAAACTTGAGAAGATCTTCAGATTCTTTGTCCATTTTGGACAGCATGACCTGTAGCATCACTTGCAGCTGCTGAATCCAAGAGTATAAATAGTGAAAAGAATGCTGATTTGGCCAGGATAAAATGTTCACGTTGGGTTTTTCCAACAGCCATGTCAGGACTTAACGATGGCAAAAGCTTCTCACACGTCATTTTTATTCAGGCTTGTACTAAGCATGTGGAGTGGCAATGTTCTCTAATTGAAGGAAAGAAATGAGGGGAAAAGTGGTAAATTGAGAAATAGTATGTTTTTGGTGTCCTCTCAGCCTGAAGGAAAAACACTTTGCTTGAACAGTATGATAGGAGTTGTTAGAGAAATTAAGTATAGATTTCCTTCAATTGTAGTTGAATCATGACATCTTACTAAATAGTTTCAGTTTTGAGTGCCTGCTTTCTGGTTTGACATTTTTGTTGGATGGTTGTTGGTTGTGTTTGGTTTTGGTTTTTTTTTGTTTGCTTGTTTAAAAAAAACCAGCTCTGCATGGCCTGAGGGAGAGCTGATAGTTTCCTTATTTTTTACTGGAAACTATATCAAGTATCAAACTATCAATTCTTCCAGGTGGTTACAGACCGGGAGGGCCAGCAGCTTTCTCCCTAGAAGTACTGTGATACAGTGGGTGGGTTTGAGCAATTCTAGGTGATGGGTTTTTCCCATTTTCTAGGAGCTGCCAAGATTTCACATGGCTTGACCACTAACTGCAGATCGCTGGAGTATCTCTGTGGATAGTTCTCACTGTTCAGTGAAGTGCCAAGCAGAAGTACGACTAAATAAGAGCGTTCTTTATTTACACAAAAATCTACACTGAAAAAATGTTTCAATATAAAAGGCAAGTGCTCAGGAAGTACAAAATGTCAGAAATAAAGTTGCTTCTAATACCTGAAATTACTTCTCGTGCTGGCTATGACGCTGTCATTAGTAGGGAGCTCACACACTCTATCCACCCCCAGTCTTCTTGTCAGGCTGGAGGCTTCAAGTGGTACTCAGGGTTTCAACTCATCCCCCATGCTCTCTGTGTGGGCCCTGTGTCATATTTGTTGCACTTAGTTCTGAGTAAAGAAATACGCCCTTCCCAGTGTGTCATTTGCCCCCCACTGTCCGTAGGCTTTCCGGATGAACACTGTCCCAGCCCCGTATCTTCTTCTCCCCTCCCCAAGCTTCTTACCTTCTGTTCTCTCACCCCAGCCTCCTTTCCTGCAATTCCCAGTCCTGCTCCATGCATCCCTCCTTCTTTTTCCTGTGATCTTCCACCCCTCTTTATGTCCCCTCTTTGTTTCCATATCTGTTCTGCTTGTCCAGCTTGTCTGTTTTTTTGTCCAGCTCCCCATTTTACATTTCTCCCTGCCCCACGATTACATATTTCCTGTCTTGCCTATCCTGGACCACTTATCCTGTTTCTAATCCCAGTTCAGTTCAGGTTTGCAAAGTTATTAGTGACGGTGAACAAACAGTGTTTTATAGTAGGAAGTGTTGGACAATAAGAGGTGTAGGCTCACAGCACCACCTATAATTTAGAACATTGTTTATATTTTTTAACTAATCCACCCTTAAGTAAGCAGTCCTGGTGCTGTCAGTGTGCAAATCCTTACTCATTTGAATAATCCTATTCCTTCTGCTGATACCAAATACTGAGAGGTTGTTCATTTGTGTAAGAGATGGAGGGTCCTGCCTTTAGAAAGACTTGGATCTCTTACTTCTGCATGGCCTGACCTTGACATCAAACAGTGTCTGAGATTGTACAGTTCATAGGGTTACTGAGCTGTCTCTAAAATATTTAATGGTATGTGTAGTAATTGCTCTTATTTCCATTATGAGGGGCTGTTCCGTTTTTCTTCCCTATCGATGAGAAGAGAGGAGACATACAAGTTCCTCACTGACAATACATAAGGCATAAAAGTGTATAGTCCATAGTCACACCATATTCTGCATCCTCTAGTAGGGACCCTCTGACTTGGTGGATTTAGACTGGAAAATATAAAGACATAGCTGACTTTTCCTGACATAGCTCCATGGTTTTCTTGTATCTTCTACCTCTGCTGCTAACTTCATGCCTAGTTGTTAGTAGTTCTTGTAAAATGCCTTGACGTCTAGGTGGGAAGCTGATCACAGTTTTTTGTTATCAGAAGAAACTCATAGTAAATTGTTGCTTAAAAACTGCAAGGTGTTGTCTTGGAGTGTGGAAGATTGAACACCTTTGCTGCTTTCACTGGATGTGACTTAGCTTCTATCATAGTCAGTTGGCATCTTCTAATGGACTTGGTGCTGCCTAGACCAAGTTATTTAATGGTGTGAATAACCTTTTATTGACCTGTTGCAAAGCTTATGCATAGAGTGTGTAATTATGAGTCCCTTGTTCCTTTGTGATAAAGTTCAAAACTTTAATCAGGTAGCAGTGTGGCCTGTCCTCTTTCCATTGCAGTAAAGGGTATGCAAACACCCATTGCAGTAAAGGGTATGCAAACACCCATTGCAGTAAAGGGTATGCAAACACCCATTGCAGCAAATAGTGCAAAGGCAAATCTAGCATGTCCTGCTTTTTCTCCTGCAAGAGAAATCTGCAGTTTGTTCTTCACCACTGCTCCACGAGCCATTTTGGCAGCCTGGTGGGCTGAGGGATTCGCTTGTGGTGCCTGATGCCTTTCAGGTGCAGCGCTTCAGTTTCCCAGGCTGTTGATAAAAGCTGTTCAGTCACAGCTCTCTGGGTCATAGTGTATGGGGATTTTCTGATGGTTGTGATGACCTTGCAGGGGGAATTAGAGTGGATGTAATGTTCCCAAGAATTGGAGACGCCTGTGCCGTTAGCTGGCACATTCAGCCACTGCTGAATCAATTACTAGCATTGGTAGAATTTTGCTTTAGGGGAACCTTGCAGCTACATCACAGTCTTGTTATTAATAGATTATTGTTAATTGGTTTTAATACAGAGCCAGATACTTTTCAGGGAGGAGGGACCTCAAATAGTTGGTCTCTGTGAAGTATTTTCCCATTATGCAACACGGTTGCAGCGCATGCCCTGGCACTGTATCTTGCTTTTGGTTTTGGGAAATTTTTATTAGCTCCTGTGTGGAAATACATGTTTGGTATAGAATGGTCATCCTCAGACGTGGAACTGTGTTATGGTACCTTGACCTCCTCCAAAGCCATCGGTGACAACTAAAACTCTCAGCATGGAGATCTTCTAACTTTTTTGTAATGTGTTGAAACACGATAAGGGGATTCAGGCTGCTGTGACATAAGCCCACGGTGAGCTTTTGCAGAAGTACTTCCCAATGAACCCACACAGCCCCTGATCTAAATCCATGTCACCAGCCTCTCCCGCACCCGTCGCAGTCAGTTAACTGTGTTTGCAATGGACTATCGAAGTGTTGCATTTAATTCAAGTGCGGGTAGAGTTTTCCTCAAAATGCCTGTGCAGCGTTAAGGCAGTTAGGAGTTACAAATGTAAATATGTTTACACAAAAAAGAGGAATGCATGAAAGCTGGCATTGCCTAAGCAGCCAAAAGCAGTGTGATGATATGCTAGAGGGACACTGAAAATGTAGGTTGCCGGAGTGTGCTTCCAGAAGTAAATCCCAACCAGAAGTGCTTGCAGTCCCTGCCTTCAGATGCACTGTCTGCTACATCTGCTGAGGCGACATGGGGGAGAGGGCTCAGGAGTCCGTGAGCATCCTTGTGGAGTTTTATGGGGAAGTTTGAAATGCCAAAGAGAAGCGTCGGCTGTATCTGAACGGATCCTTGTTTCAGGTTTTCCCAGGCAGTAGCAATACAGCTGGCAATCAAGTGACTTCTAATGCTAGTGTTTCATAACTGAAAGTTGGGCATTTTTCACAAGCTGTCCTATTTTGGGTTGTGAGCACGGGCACACGCACACCCCTCGCACACCCCCCACACGCCCCCCCAGTACATTGTTTACTTCCTCTGTAAGTTCTGGGACATTCAGTACTAAGGAGCATGATACGCTTGCATAAACACCCCAGCCAGATTTATCTCTCAAGCCTATCTTTCCCATCTTGGAAAGTGATTAATCTGCAGCACACATTTTGTTCTTTGATTGCAGGGCATTATTCTGTAATCATTTACAGTTTTGTAGAGCCGTAGCAGAGACTTGATGGAGTATTTCTGTCATGTTGCTGGCACTGTTGGCTGAAGCTTTAGCCATGTAATGCAGAAGGAGCATTATCACGAGTCTCTGTGTCATGTTAAAAGAGTTTTGTCTTGTGTGCTTTCTGCACATTTAAAAACATTCAAATGTAAAGTTTTTTATATCAAATTTAAAGGGCAGGTAAGTGTGTACAGCAATACATGCTGGGGGCTGGTTTTTAGGTTTTAGGAACAGTGTCAGTACTTACAGCATGCTGGCTGCCAGCTGAGGTTTTCCTTTGCATTTATGGAGAGTGGAGGAGTTTAAATGACTTTTGTTTTCCATGCTGCAGCTTGTGTGTTGAAGCCTGCATCAGTTAGAATTGGGCAACTCATGTAGATGCAATAATTGTACATATTTCTTAGTGTGGAAAACAAAAAAAGTGAAGGTGAATCAGAAAATCTGTCCTGTATGTACTGCATCAAAGGTTTTCTATGTGCCCTTTGTGTATTTTGTTTGTTTTCCAGTGTTCAAGGAAAGGAGGCAGGAGAGGTAACAACCTTGAGTGAACAGGTTGTGGGGTTGAGATAAGACTGTTGAGCAGAGGTTTTTTTTTTTGATTCAAGTGTCCATGCTGTAAACCACTTCTTTCAGTAGAAAGGTGTGAAAAGTAGGTAGAAAAAATTCAAAGAAAACCATACGACTTTGGCTTCTGACGTTTTGGTAAGTTTCTTTTTTGCAATATACGTGCACCTTTCTGTCCTACAGAGGACGAGTTTTTAATGGTCCAGAAGCGGATGGGCTTTGTCTAGTCACCCATACCAGTGAGCATCTTTTTCCAAAGACTCTCAGAAATCTGGCTCACACTATGTGGGACGAAGCACTTTTCTGTCACCTTATGATAAATCAGAGTCCTGTAGTTAAAAGACAGAAGCCACAACACCAAGGTACCGTATGCAAAGATCAGGAAAAACTGAGGGCATTGCAGGTACAGCATGTCTATTGAATGAGATGTCTGGAGGATCCCGTGCCAGAAGACAAGACAAAAAAATCTTCCAACAGCTTTCCTTGTCGGTCTGATCCTGAGGGCAGGGCAAAGGAGGGGGGATTTCCTCTGACTACAAATCCATCAGTTGTTTTAAATGGGCAGATGTCAGAAGAGTGTCCTGCTCTGCTTCGGGGACCTGAGAATGCCGGGCCAGGAGGAGCACCAGCTTCAATTCTCCAGCAGCGGGCTTTGGAGTAGGGAGAACAGGCAGCACAGACCAGTAGTAACAGTTAATGGCCCCCTGATTTACTGATGTATAGGAGTATCTTGAGCATCTGATCACAGATTTCATTTTTCCATTCTAGAAGTGTAAATGCCTGAATTCTAAATTAAGGAGAATTTAAAAGCAAGGAGAAGGAAGACTAAGGCTCTTTTGAAGCAGCAACTGTTTATGAAAACTACCAAATTATGTAAGGAAATGAGAGGTTCAGAGTATGTGCATTTATAGAGGTATCCAACTGCTTGGTTGTGCTCAAACCCAGGATTAAGGTAGCTGTCCTGTGGTTGTTGGAAGGAAATGTCTCACTTGGGATTGTGAACTTGCACCATCTTCACTTCAATGGGAAAAGGCCTTTGCTTGGGTTGTGTTTGAGGATGGAGCCGGGTAAATAATATTTTTCTGTGTTTGAAAATTAGTAGCAATGGTAAGAATCTTAGCAATAGGCAATTTTTCTTAGCATCTGAGAAAGACCAAAATTACACATACTGGTGCCAGACACTTCTCTCACTGAGTGTTCCCCGAAACTAAATGGAGCTGCTGCTCATCTTCTGATGTGACTTTAGTTGTGCAGCTGATTTTAAGCACTGGTAAATGAGTGGAAGTGACTTCTAATAGGAGGCAGAATGGAGTGCAGTGCTGCCAAAATGCAGCCTCACAGCGCTAGTGCTTGTGCCCTTCTGGGGTGGGTTGTGATCCAGCTTCAGGACCTGAATAATTTGTATCCATTACCCGGCAGTTGGAGCTTCCTCTTTCTGCGCTTGGATGCATGCCATGGGGTCATGGAGTCTGGGTTCAGCTTTGCTCACCCCAAATCCCTTATCACCTCAAAATTATTTGTAGAAGTTGTATTTGTTTTCCTTTAACAGCGAGAGATGAAACCCTTTAATCTCTGTTGTTTATATTACTGCCCACAGAAACATTTCTAGGACATACTGGGTTCAGTACAAAAGAGCTTCACACTAAGAAGTTGAGGCCCCATTCCATCAGGCAGAAAGGAACCTTTGCCTCAGTGTGGATTAATTATTTAATAGCCAGCTGAGTAGGCAGGATGATCATGTACAAGAAATGAAGCTGCTCAACTCTGTCCAGAATATTGTTTCAGGGAGTTAGGGGTGCTTTTGCTTAGCCCTCCAGAACTGTCAGAGCTAATGTCATGCTGAAGTTATGAATCATGCAAAAGCTTGGGGAGGAAAAGAAGCTTTGGGCTTGAACACTTTCAATTTTGGAAGAATACATGCACTGAGAGCAAGATCTTCATGAGTGGAATGTGTGCTTCTAAGGGAGGTTTTGGATAAAGGCCAGGTGCTGGGAACATCTGTCGGAACATCCCGACCGCTGGCAGAGCTTCTGCTTGGAGCTCAGCTAAAAACTTCGTGTGACCAGGCAGGTGTCTGTTCCTGTATACAGCCCCCTCAGCTCTGTAATTGTGGTGTTAACACTTTACCTCCACACTTGCCTGGTGCCAGGGTGGATGAAAACAAAGTGTGTTTGCTTGAGGAAGACCCTTTTCCAAGCTGGACATTTTATCTTCTTTTAGTGCAACTGAAAAACAGGTGTGGTGTTCTTCACCCAAGGAGTTTGTTTCTAGACAGAGTAAGATCCACCACTGCTAAGTGTAGCTGTTGTGCACCTGCACAATTTTTTCCCGAAACTGTGGGGCGTCAGAGATGAAGTCCTGTTCATAGGTCATCCATAAGGGAAACTGGATGTTAAATTCTAAACTTCTAACTAGAGTAACATTTTACTTCTTAATTTCATGCCAGAGGTTAGGTCTAGTCTTGAAAGCACCTCCTGTGCAATGTAGAACTGAGCCCAGAGAAAGGAAATGAAATCAGAAATGGAGAAAAGTTATTTTAATCATAAATAGTTGTGGTAGAAAGGTAGATGTTTATATGTGCAATAGTACAGTACCTACTGTGTGTATTTTAGGAGAACCTGAGAATAGCAGCTGCGCTGAAATACTTGACAGTGAAGTCAAATATAGTTTAGGTTAAAAAAAAAAGTCTCTGGGGAGGGTGGATTTTGCAGCGTGAAACCTGTCAGTGTTATCTCTGCCGCGTGGCACAGAACAGCCTGTGACTCTGGCGCTTGTTTGCGAACGTGCAGTTCCTGTAATGGGATACGTCCCCTTCCTATCAGTGTGGTATTGTGCCTGGGTAAACCTCCCTGCCTCCCAAATTTTCCCGAGAACCACATTAGGCTGACAGCCTTGTTTCTGCAAAGGCTTCCTTTTCTGAGGTGTCACTGATTTTGCAGCTGATGGACCTGTTGAATTTTAGATCTACAGGGCTCAGAAGAAGCAAAGCTGCTGGCACTAAAACTAGAGCTCTTGCTAATGTGTTGAGGTCAAAAGGATCAAAACCTAAATTAAGTTTGTTCCTGAAATTTGGCTGTGAATCACAAATTCAGGAAGTTGTACATGAAAATCAGTCTAGGTAGTGTTTCTTAAGAGATCTTCAGCTAAAAATAATGTATTGTGCTATAGTTATAAATAATATGGGTTGGGTTTTTTTTTCTTCCCCTGTCTAATTAAATTGTTACTCTTGCCACAACGAAAGGAAAGGGAAAAGATAATAACATGAATCTGGTTGAACAAGTACGTAGCTTGCAGGTTTCAGCTAGAGTGTTTGCAGCTGCAGCTGGTGCTGAACCTTACACTCATGCATTTAATTGTCAAAATGAAAATAGGGTGCTCTGGAGAGATCAACAGTGGTTTCTGTGTGTCCATCATTTGGGAAACCCTTCTGAAAGCTCACCCAAAGTGGGTTTCTCCTGCACTGTCAAAAAACAGAAGAAAAGAATTTTTTTTCTTCTTCCTTCCCCCTCCCCGACCTCCCCGCAGGTAACTGCAGTGGTTTTTGTAAAATTGTGGTTGAACTGCATGGTAGGGTGTTTTGATGGACTCTGGTGTCCTATTAAAGTGAGAAACAGTGGTCACAGATAGCTCTGCCATTTTAGAGTGACACTTTGGCAGGTTTGCTGCAGGTAAATAGTGGATAAAGCTGGAAAAAAGAACTTTTCTGCCTCTTGGCCATGGTACTGAGATGCTCTTTGAAAGCCAAGTGGGCAACCTGGCCATGGCCATCTGCCTACTAAACAGTAGGGATGGCCAGCAGCCTGGCAAGACAGTATTTATCACACCTATTGCTGCTGCTGCATTAGTGTCCAGGAAAGTTTTGTGTATTTTGCTGCTTAGGCTTGTCAGTGGCTGCTGGGGCCTTTTAACAGTGTTCAGGGTTTGTGGTGGATTCTGGGGACCATGGGAGAGGTCATTAACAAGGTTCGGCTCCTTGGAGAGCAACGATAATGGCCAGTGAAAGCGGTAATCCCAGAAACCTAAGGGGATAATGACAGGCAATAACATGGCTGCCAAACTTTAAGCTTAATCACAACATCTTTCAGGTGTTCAGAGAGTTATTTTTCTCAAAGAAGGCCATGGTGAGGGAAAAAGAAGGGTTATACAAAGCAGGGTACCACAGAGAAACTGGCCTGTGTGGGTGATAGAGCTGGGCACAGGCTCAGAGATTTATTGCGCTGAAATTTGCTGTCACTCAAAAAAAAATAAAAGGGAGTGAGGCAGCTGCGTTATTTCACTGGCAGTGATGCAATGCTGGTGACACACCAGGACGGGAGGGACCAGCACACTCTGTGACAGCACAGCATGTACATGGTGTCACCCGAGCTGCACCCCACCAGCCAACAGCTTCGACTAAGTGCCAGCACTTCGTCCACTGCTTCATTTTCAAGCCAATATTTATACATAACAGCTGGAAGCATGGGTTTGGAAGTAACACATAGTGACTCCACATGTACAATTTCCAAAACACCCCCTTTGCCTCTCCTATTTGTTGTGCTTTAGGGGGTTTGAGACTTTTTTTCTAAATTTATTTTATTACAGTGCAGTCAAGGCATTTACTAATTTCTCATTCACTTGTCAACTGCTTGGCAAGAGGGAAAATCTCATAGGAAAACACCATGGTTTTTGATAAGGTTGTAAACAGAAAGCAGAAAAGCAGAAATCCTGGTGTTTGTTTTAATGTTTACTGCATCATCCTGAAGTTTTCTGCTGCCCCCCCCAGAAGTTAGTGATGGCACAGGCAAAAAGAATATTGTCATATTGAAAATAAATACCCAAAAAGAAGAAACTTAGGCATTCTTTGAAGAAAAAAATTGCAAAGGGGGTGAGGAAGAAAGCTGGTGAATAAGTGTGTGTGTGTTTGTTTAAGGAATTGAATGGGTAGCAAATACTTTTCTATGTGTGTGGAAAATATGACTTGGCTTTTGCAATAGCATTTTATGGGAAGAAAGATCAAGGGTTCAGGAGATGAAATACTTATTCATAAAATGTAGGGAGCAAAGACAAGCTACTTGTTGTGCTTCTGCCCATTTGCTGTAAGTCCAATCTAGCTGAATCATTTCTAGGAATGGAGTGGGAACTGGATTTCCAGCCTCCTCTCTGTCCTTGGCTTCTCTCCTGCATGGCTGCCACTGATTAGTACTTGTTGTACTGAGCTTTTTGTGGAGGGTATGTTCCTGTCCACTTAACTGCTAAAGCTTTTACCACCTTGGGATCTAAGCACAATCCACTTGAACCTGGATTAAAAGAGCCAATTTGTTTTATGGAGGCTTTTTAACAGCCATCAGGCAGAAACTGACCCGGGTAGGATTTTGACCTGATACTGGAGAAATGAAAGGCCCTTCCCCACTACTGGTCTATTGCCACGCTCTGTGGGTAGTTACAAGCAAAGACACAAGCAAACCCAACCCAAGCATTTCCTCTGGTGTTTGAGGTCTTCCAAAAGGCTGAAGATGTATGATCTGCCGCATGAAGCCAAGCTGTGCTGCAGGTGTAACATTTATTAGTTAGGTGAATGTGATATTTTATTTGTGTATCTGAAGAAAATCGGGGTTAGACTGCACAGGCTGGTTGCCTGAAGGTTTTTGCTGTCTGCTCCCCCATTCTGTGCTGCCCAGATGATTTCAGCTCTGCTCAGCTGCTGTGCATATAGGTGTGTGCCAGGTCTGTACAGCAACCTGGGCTAGACTGCCATGCTGTCCTGTGCCCAGCATTGTTTAATCTGGCACCTTCCCAGCTCACCTTAAACATTGCTGCATGCCTAAAGTTAATGTGGCTCGGCAAGGCCGTGCCACAGAGGGGCCTGGTGGTGGTTTTTCCCTCTTTTCAATAAGTGTAATGGGAGGAGGAATTAAAATAGCTGTTCAGAATTTTTTTGAGAACTTTGAGAGGATATGAGCCCCTGTGCTTTCTATGGGTTTCAGGACAAGCTGATGCCACATCCGAGAACTGAAGTTTGTCTGCCTGTCAGGAGGCAAAGGGGCTGGGCTGGTGCCTTATGGGGTGAATTTGAATCGGTTTGGTTAAAAAAGTGGCTGTAGTTATCTTGGTGATTAATATAAATAATTTTGGTTGTTAACAAGCAAGTTTTAGTATTCTGTATTTTTTAACTTTGAATATGAGTCAGCAGTGCCCTGGCAGCCAGGAGGACCAGCTGTGTCCTGGGGGCCATCAGGCAAAGAATCACCAGCTGGTTGAGGGAGGGTATTGTCCAGCTCTGCTCTGCACTGGTGCAGCCTCACCTTGAGTATTGTGTGCAGTTTAGGGCACCAAAATATAAGAAAGATATAAAGCTATTAGAGAGCGTCCAAAGGAGGGCGCTGAGGTGAAGGGCCTTGAGGGGAAGCCGTATGAGGAGTGTCTGAGGTCACTTGATCTGTTCAGCCTGGAGAAGAGGAGACTGAAGGGAGACCTCATTGCAGTCTGCAACTTCCTCGTGAGGAGAAGAGGAGGGGCAGGCACTGATCTATTCTCTGTGGTGACCAGTGACAGGACCCAAGGGAATGGCCTGAAGTTGTGTCAGGGGAAGTTTAGGATGTATATTAGAAAAAGGTTCTTCACCCAGAGGGTGGTTGGGCACTGGAACAGGCTCCCCAGGGCAGTGGTCACAGCACCAAGCCTGACAGAGTTCAAGAAGTGTTGGGGTGATACTCTCAGGCAAGGTGTGACTGTTGGGGATGGTCCTGTGCAGGGCCAGGAGTTGGACTCGATGATCCTTGTGAGTCCCTGTCCACTCAGCATATTCTGTGATTGTGTGATTCTTTTTCTCCCAGAAGAAGGAATTGTTTTTTTAATGGTAGTCTTGATCCAACGTGCAATTTTTTTTAGCAGCAAGTGAAGGAGCTTCCTAGAGGAAAAAGGTTCTTGGTAAGATTGTCACCTCTGCATTCTGCAATTACTTTGCATTTAATGAATGGGTTGGGGGGCTAACCAAATTCATTAAAAGCAATTTGTTTACCTAAACAAAACTTATGTGAAAATGCCACGACTGAAAGAATTCAAAAGCCTCTAAATGATTCTGTGGGGAGGAAGAAAAGTTTTTTCGTTGTTGTTGTTTTTAATCTTAAGCGTGATTCCCCTTCACCCCTGGCTTTTCTAGCTCTGCACCCATTTGTGCATGTGTACTTGTATGGTTATCAGCACAAGTATGGTTCCAGGCCCCTCAGGGCAGCAGCCTTGCCCTGCCTTATGGCTCAGAAAGGACTCAGAAAAGCCGGAAAGATCCTGACAATTTACAGTTACCACCCTGTTTTTATTACATGCCTCTTGCAGGCTCCTTTGTTGAGGCAATGCTGTGCCAAATAAAAGACTATTCTCCTGGTTTGGAGCAGCTGTTGTACCTCGGGGGTAACCCTGCTGCCAGTGGCTGTGGGGGAGCACAGGGGGAGGATGCTGGCAGGCCAGGCAGAGCAGCTTTATTTGGGATGCTGTCAGCTTTCCATCCCCTCTGCTGGGGTTTCCCCACTTCTGCTAGGGGCAACCAAAACCAAAGGGGCTGTACTCCAAAGCATGCTTTTGCAAACACAGATAGGGGCACACAGAGGGCCAGCTCATTCCTATATGTACTGCCGCATTGTGGTGGTGCATGAAATACCCACTCCTATTACCTGTTCCATAGGCACTTCCTTCCCTTGCTGGCTGCCTCCTGGCTAGCTCTGTCATACAGGTATTTTGGCAACCATAAGTTCAGCAAGGTTAGTGAGCACTCACTAATGCTGAGGGTCTGGCTGTTGCTGCAGGGGATGTCAAATTGTAAAGAGGAGATGATGACCAGCCTTTAGGATGTGAGGACAGAGATGCTGGGCTAGCTCACTCCCCCGGCAGTTCCTCACGTGGCTAGGTTTCTTCTGCAAAGCCAAGGAAATACTTCTCCCTGCCCTTACTGCTGATCACGGTGAACTTGAGTCCTTCCCTGTCTAAAAACAGGATGCATTAATATTAAAATTGACCAAATTAATGCCAGGATGGCAAAATGGTAATTGGTGGCTGCTATCTCTTTCCTTCTCATGGGCAAAGGCCCCCCATCCTTTGCTGCTTGGACAACCTGGCTGCAGTGTGTAAAACACATCAGTGCTGCTATGCTGCAATTAGGGTGGTTTCTTAATTTGTGAGTGCTGTGTCCATCAGGACTTCTGCTGCCTTTTGGGGGACCCAATGGTAGGGACTTCCCATCTTCCTCAGGAATTCCCATTTTCGCGTGAGGAGATGTCCTAGTCAGGGCCTAGAGAGCCATAAAGGGAAGATTGTAAATGTATGGGATATTTCAATCAGATAGCATGTCTGTGTTTAAATACCTTTTGGCTGCAAGAACTTGCCTTTCATACCTCATGCTGTCATTTAAAGGAATAAATAGCAAGAAATGGGACTGGATTGCTTTTTAAGTATCTTAAAGGTAGCCAAGATATAGATGCTCCCAGAACCTCTGTCAAAAAGGAATTAAATTGTTTTCATCTAGTGTATTAAGAGGATCAAAGCCAACCTGTCTTTTAGGAACCTTCTGCCTCTTCTTCCCCAACCACCTGGGGAAAGCAGACTCTTTCTTTACAGTGCTGGGACACAGTTGTCCAGCCTTCCCACCTTTGCCGCCTCCACTCAGTACTTTATTGAGGGAGTTGTGTATATTCTTTTCAGCCTGACAGTTCATTTCAAATTAGTGCTGTGTTTCCACATAGAGTCAACTTAGATCCTTCATTATTATCCGTAATATGTGAAGCAATTAAGATTGTTCAGCTTTTTGCAAGATGAGCAAAATCCAAAAATGCTCGTCTCTCTCCATGCCTCTTCCACGCTGTGCAATGGTTTTGCTCAGAGCCTGCACATTTTGGGAGCTTTTTTGACTTCTTTGCATGTTGGGCCAGCAAAATTTTAATCCTAAAGGTTGAGAGGCAACTGCCTACGTGATCTTGCGAGCATTGCCAGGTATGGGGTGAGCCTGCCAAGTCATTTGAAGATGGAGTATGTTGACATGGTCTCGCAGGGTGTGATTTACAGCTGTCCTCCCTCAGGCGGGAGGCACTGGGGCCAGTCAAAGCCAAGTGACCCAAAGGCTCTGTTCATTGCAGTGTGCAGGCAGGTAACTAAAAAACCTGAACATTTCCTTTGCAATATCTTAAAAAGTTCGTTCTGTTGTAGGCAGTTAGGTATATTCAGAACATACATACTGTGTATTTTCTGCATCATTTTCCTGTAGCAAATATTAGTCAGTT